TTGATGTGATTGTGGGAATGCGCAGTGCAGGAAGTCAGACTGTGTTTAATTCAGTTAAAAGAAGAGACCCTGTCAGTGTAAATACACTTGGGTGGACAGAGGCTGGTCTTTCAGAGACCTATAGATTGAGCTGGGGAGGGAGGCGAGCCAGCAGGCTGCATGCCCTCCAGGCGCAAGCTGTAAGACTGGCTCAACTTCTTTCTCCCCACTGCTTCAATGAGAAAGTTAAAGCCCCCATCAGGAGTCCCTTTTGGATGTAAACACACTCCAGCGGGTGCTGGACTCTGGTATGGCTGGACTGTGCTTTGGGCCAAATCCACCAGCAGCAGAGCGGTGATGGAGAGGCATTGGGGGCGGCGGCAGCGAGGGGCGACCGATGGCTGCACCTCTGAACTCCGTGACTGAGTGGGGGGGGGGGGCAGAGAAGGGTTGGGCATGTGAATGGGACACTGACATTGCTGGACTTGAGAGCCTGAGAAGACAAGGACACTGCCCAACCCACTCGAGCTGGGACGTTTACTCGTGGGTTTGTTTGAGCTGTGTCTGCGGTGGCTTCCAAAACGAATGCCCCGTTACTTCTCTCCCCTTTTATTAAAAGTGTCTCTTCTACACTCAGACTCTGCGCTGGTGCGTGGGGAAACATTGCCTCCCAGAGGCACCCAAAGTTACTGGGTGGGGCAGGAGCCAGTTCTGTATGGGATGGATGGAGAGGAACCCCTAAATATTGAACCCAGCCCTGGCAGAAGGGTTACATGCACACAGCTGGAATAAATTCGAGGGAACATTGGCCTCAAGTCACTGTGCCAATAGTGCTTACTGCGCTGCGTATGCTACAGCAGCTCAAGCACTTTTCAGTCCACGTTGTGCGTCTGCACTGGAAAGGTTTGCTGCTTCTTTTCTGGTGTAGACAAGATGGGTGACCTCCAGCCTCAGTTTCCCCAGCTGTAAAATGCTTTGCGCTCATCAGCAGAGCTTGTTGAAAAGATCAGACCTTGTCTGTGCCGGAAAATCAGGTTTTTGGGTCAACAAAAACTTGTGGGGAAGATTAAACGCGTCAGCGGTTTTCAGCTAGAAATTATTCAGTGTTCAGAGGTTCGGCGGAGCAGTTTCGGTTTGGGGCACTTTTTGGCTATTTTCCAAATAATCCTGTAACTTTTTTGTTTTCAAGTATTGTTGAACAAAAAACAAGTAAAACTTTCAAAGGGAAAAGAGAACACACCGTGTTTTCCGATCAGCCCTTGTCCGTGGATACAAGGAGCAACATTCACACAAAATATTAGGCAACATCTATCCACACACTCAAATTCTGTCAACATGGCCTTGAGTGCAGGCGCCAAACCCTGAGGAACTCGGCCCTGAGTGTGGGTGCTGAGCCCCGGGGACCCCTAAGCTCTTTGGACCCGTTCCCTGGGTACTTGGGATGATCCAGGAGCGTAGGAGCCACTGGGCGCTAACCAGTGAGCCCCATGTGCCGTGTCCCAGATGCCACGTCCCCAGTGCCCACCTGCAGAAAGCCCCATGACGGCGAGAGCCGCTCCTTGCAGGGTTCCTCATTCCCAGGGGCGGGGCCATCTCCCTGCGCTGCTGTTGGCACTGCTTTGCAGCTTCTCCCCCCAGGCAATCTGTGGCCAAGCTCTACACCAGCTGGGATTTCCCCCTCTGCTTCCTCCTTCTCCTGTCACACGCAACGCGAGGCCCTGAGCTCTCAGCCCACCCAGGTCACTGGTGAGGTCGGACGGAGTCAGAGCGTCTGAATTGCAGCAACGCTGGGGCTGGGACGCTGCTCTGCGCTTTGCACCTGACCCGTCGCTTCTGAACAGCCCGGAGAGCCAATCTCTGGTCATTCTGGGATGCTTGGAACCCGCTGCGATGCAGATGGGGAAACTGAGGCACAGTGCGGCAAAGTGACTTGCCCGAGATCGTGCAGTGAGTCAGCGACTGAGCCAGGACTAGAACCCAGGAGTCCTGACTCCCACTCCCGTTCTAGCCCATAGAAAACAACCTTCCCTGCTGACAGACACCCGAGGCCTTTCGGGTTCCCTGACAAAGGCCTTGTTTGTGCGTATCCAAGGCAGAGGCATTATGGACTCAAGCCCTAAGCATTCCT